AATAAAAAGGTGAAATAAAGAATAAATAAAAAGGTGAAATAAAGAATAAAGGTGAAAAAGAATAAAAAGGTGAAACAAAGAATAAATAAAAGGTGAAAAAGAATACAAGGTGAAACAAAGAATAAATAAAAGGTGAAATAAAGAATAAATAAAAGGTGAAATTAAAAAAAATCTCATTCATCCAGAGTCTCTTATCGAGTTCTGACAGGTTTTTAAGAGTCTGGGTTTTTTTGGCAGACATGTTGATCAACGAGACCCAGTCCTGCTTCCTGTTTGGGTTTTCAGGAACCAACAAGAGGCTGAACGGCCAGCTGGACCCGTTCACGTCATCCTGAAGACCTTCAGAACCAAAGGGACCTCCAGCGATTCTCCACAGAACACAAACTCACCTTAATGGCTTCCACTTCTGCTTGAGACGGCCCAGTTCTCCTATTCTCTGACTGCACCGGGACTCCAGGAGTGAACCTGAGGAGGAGAAACGGACCGTTCATTCATTTACAGTGAACCGGATCAGAACCAGGTTCTGATCCTGAGAGACGAGCTCATTTCATCAGACGTACGTCTTCATCCGTCTGGAAATGTCTTTGGCCAGCTGAGCTCCTCGTTTGCCTTTGAACATCTTCTCCGCCTCCTGCCGCTCCTGGAAAGGCACCACACTGTCAGAACCAATTACTGGACCTGCTAGAACCGGTCCTGCTTTCTGTCCGCTCACCTTCAACTTTACTTTCTGAAAGTCCAGAACCCGGAGCTGAGGCAGCTTGCTGATGACGTAGAGCCGGTAGTGCTTCTTGTTGGTCACCGGGTTCCTCAGCAGGCTGCAAATTACAGATTACAGATTACCACAAACACAAGCAGAACCAGACCAGACCACAAGTTCTGGGTCACACCTGAGGAGGGTCAGGGTCTTCACTGAGGCCAGAGGGTCCAGGTCACCCTGCAGGACAACAGATAAACAGACCTGATCAGAGGAGGCAGAACCAGGACCGGTTCTGCTGCTCTCTCAAATGATGCCTGCTAAAGTTCTGTTGGTTCTAGTCAGAAACTTTAACCTGAAATTCATTCAGAACAGAGCAGAACACCGCCCGGATCAACTCTCACACAAAAACTTGATCCATATCAGAATTCCTCACCAGGTCCTGGATGTTGTTGTTGGTCAGAACCAGTTCCCTCAGACCCGGCAGGGCCTGCTCCAGGTTCTCCCCGATACGACTGCAGACAAACACCACAACCTCAGAGTTATCAAAGGTCCAACGGGTTCTCCATGAACACCAGACCCCAGAACCTACCAGATCCGGTTATTGTTCATCAGAATCGTCTTGAGCCTCCTGAGCAGAGGAAACCCGTCCAGTTTCCTCACTTCGTTATCGGAGAAGTCAATGGTGTCGAACTGGTCCAGAGTGGCCCCAAGGTTCTCCAGAACCGGGATTTTATAACCTGGAACACCAACAGGAAACATCAGACACCAAAACTCAGCTGGTACTCAGAACCACCTGAACCCAGATAACCTGAACTTGGACCCCCTGAACCCAGCTAACCAGAACCTGGACCCCCTAAACACAGCTAACCCGAACCTGGACCACCTGAACACAGCTAACCCGAACCTGGACCACCTGAACACAGCTAACCCGAACCTGGACAGCCTGAACCCATCTAACCAGAACCTGAACAGCTTGGACCCAGATACCCCGAAACCCTCGGTTTTAGAAAGACTACCAGGTCCCTGGGTTCACACAAGAACCATTTCCGGTCCGGTTGTGGACCAGGACCGAGGCCTGATGAGGCGCGTTACCTCGGAGATCCAGTTCCCGGTCCCGGACGGGGTTTGTGTACTGAGCAGCCTGCTCGATCAGCTCCGCGGATAATTTCACCATGACGGAAACAAACAAAAAACTAATTCAGCTTTTACTTCATTAAATAAACTGGTTCCGAACCCACGCTGCCGCCAGAACAAAGATTTCTTCTTCGTCTAAAAAACGTTTTCTTTCTTCTTCGACGGTTTTTTGTGGCGGACAGCCTTCCTCTGTCACGCCGCCACTGGCCTGGAGGAGGAACTGCAGGTTAACAATTTTAAAGGTAACAACAAAGTCCATGCTCAATAATCCAGGTATAAATAAGACCTTTGAATTTAATTTATTTTGTTTGATTAAGGAACCTTTAAGGACATTCTTCAAAGTTAATTAATTAATTTATTTTTTGTTCATGTTGTAGAAAATGTGCTTGTGTTCAGAGGTTTATTGGTGAAACAGCTTCTCATGAACCAAAAAAGTCCATGCTCACACTTGTTCCACTTTGGAGTAAGCTGTTTGGGGGAAGAATCAATTTTGTGTTGTGTGTTTCCTTGACTCATGAAGCCTTCCGGATGGAAGGTGAAACATTTCAGAAAAAAAAGAAAAAAAAAAGAAACTGTCCAGATGACCTGACTGAAAATTGTTGGAGCTTTCATGAACTTGTTGAAACAAAAATGTTTCAAAAACTTAAAGTTTTTCTTGAACTGAAAGCAGAGTAAGAGGCTCAGGTTGGTGTGTTTTTATATTCTGGGTAAAAATGAAAACTTTTTAGTCTCTGTTGTTAAATAAACTACCTCGCAACCAAACCACAGAAGGACGTCACTTCTTTTTTTTACCTCTCAACAGAACCACTTGGTCCAAGATTGACATTTGATTGTAATATCAGTAAATTATGGGACAAAAATATTGGGACTCAGGATTCTTTCTTCTTCTGCAGAACATTTTTACCATGGTTCAGTCCAGAGAGAAAAGGAGAAGAGCCTTAGGGGTTATGGACAGTTCCAACTGGGAGGAGACCCCAAGGACACCCTGGACAAACTCTGTCTCTCAGCTGGTCTGGGGACAAGGTAATTATGTCTTGAGAGTGCATGCTGTAGCTGCACTGACAAAGTGACATGTAGGAGGAGATATATGAAAGCAACAGAGCAGGGAGTGATTTAAAGATGAAAATGTACAATTGAGAGAGTGTACGTGAAGTTAATGATGACCAGTTAACCAGTGAATACAGGGTGCAGTGGTGGGTATGGTAATTACAGCCAGTTATGAATCTTAGCGCACCGTGATAGACAACATCCAATCAGCAGAAAAGACAGCGACTAATCAGGAATAATCTGGTAAATGTTCAGATGAAAGGTTAATCTCATGTAATAAAATAAAGATATTCTGGATTAATGTTCATGACTGGATTAAAAATATTCACTTCCTGACTTTTACCAGAGAGAACATATTTAAACTGTAGACTTTACTCTTTACGGGGAGCAGAGGCTAGATGAGGAGAGCTTGTGACTGGAAGGTCGCCGGCTCAAATCCTGAGACTGACATAAGAAATGTGGGTGGGAAAGGTGAAGCACCCACACCTGTTTCCACTGACACTTTCTGCTCCCGGTGCTGCCTTAAAGTGGCCCTCTGCTCCACGCCCATTAGCTGTGGTAGCCTTTACTCACTGAGGCGACCCCTGAAGGAGAGAGCAGCCAGAAAAAAATTCTGTACATTTTATATTTTTGTGGACATAAGAAGGTACACCTGTAATTTCATTAGATGTGATATATGTTCTAATTAGTTTATCCATCCATTATTTTCTGCTTGTTCCAAAGTCGGGTCGTTGCCCTGAGAGTGATGTGCGAATGAGCTTCCTCTGCTACCCTGCAAAGGAAACTCATTTCAACCATCTGTACCGCAACCTCGTTCTTTCAGTCACTATCCAGAGTTCATGGCCATTGGTGAGGGCAAGAACACAGACTGACCGGAAAATAGAAAGTTTTGTCTTACAGCTCAGCTCCCTCTTCACCACAATGGACCGGACAGAGTCCGCAATACTGCAGATGCTGCACCGATCTGTCTGTCAATCTCACACTAGTCTTCCCTCACTGAGAACAAAACCTCAAGAAACTTGAACTCTGCCACTTGAGGCAGAACCTTACCCTCAACACAAAGAGAGCAATCCACCCTTTTCCGACTGAGGACCATGGCTTCAGATTTGGAGGTGCTGATTCTCATCCCAGCTGCTTCACACTCAGCTGCGAACCACTCCAGTGAAAGCTGAAGATCACGACACGATGATGCCAACAGGACCACATCATCTGCAAAGAGCAGAAATGGAATCCTGAGGCCACTGAACCGGACTCCCTCCGCCCCCTGGATACACAGAGAAATTCTGTCCATAAAAGTTATGAACAGAATCAGTGACATTGGGCAGCTCTGATGGAGTCCAACTTCCAATTTGGAGGAGTCTGACTTACTACTGGCAATGAGAACCAAACTCTTGCACTGCTTGTATAGGGACCAAACAGCATGTAGCAACAGACCCCCAATCCCATGCTCACCGAGCACCACCCCACAGTGTACCTCTAGGAACACGGTCAAACAAATGCCAGTGTATCTCGAGAAACAGTCGAAAGCCTTCTCCAAGTCCACAAAACATGTAGACTGGATGGAAAAACTCCCATGACCCTTCGAGGACCCTAGTGAGGGTAAAGAGCTGATCCAGTGTTCAACGGCCAGGATGGAATCCACATTGTTCCTTCTGGGAGGTTTGACCAACGATTGGACTCGCTTCTCCAGTACCCCTGAATAGACCTTACCAGGGAGGCTAAGGAGAGTGATGCCCTTGTAAATGGAGCACACTCTGATCCCTCTTTTTGAAAAGGGGAACCACCACCAAAGTCTGCCAAACCAGTGGCACTGTCCCCGATGTCCATGCAATTTTGCAAAAGTGTGTCAACCAAGACAAACCCACAACACTCAGAGCCTTAATGACAACAAGGCAGATATTGTCCACCCCCGGAGCACTGCCACCGTGGAGCTTTTCTAACTACCTCGGCAACCTCAGCCACGGTTATGGAGAGACCAACCCCAAAGTCCCAACTCACCTTCCTCTATGGAAGACATGCCGGTGGGATTGAGAAGGTCTGAGAAGTATTCCTTTCACCTCCTAACGACATCAATGGTTGAGGTCAACAGCACCCCACCTTCACTGAACACAGTGTTAGGAAAGTGCTGCTTTCCCCTTCTCAGCCACCTGATGGTTTGCCAGAACCTTCTCGGAACCAACCGAGAGTCTATCCAAGGCCTCACTGAACCTCTCCCACATACGAGCTTTTGCCTCAGCAACAGCCAAGGCTGCAGACTGCTTGGCCCTCAGGTTCTCCTCAGCTGCCTCTGGAATCCCACCAGCCAACAAGGACCGATAGGACTCCTTTAGCTTGACAGCTTCTCTAACTCGGGGTGTCCACCCCTGAGTTTGAGGATGGCCACCGCAAGAAGTACCGACAACCTTGTGACCACAACTCAAGGCAGCCACTTCAACAACTGAGTCGCAGAACATGGCCCACTCGGTCTCATGCCCCTCGCCTCAGCTGGGATGTAGTTAGAGCTCTCCTGGAGGTGCAAGTTGAAGATCTTTTTATGGGTTCTTCTGTCAGACATTCCCAGCAAACCCTCAATGCACGTTTGGGTCTACCAGGTTTGTCTATTTGGTTTCTTTTGACAAAGTCAGCACTTTGTGCAAACGGTGTTGTTTTTAAATCACTTTATAAATGAAGTAGTATAAAATAATAATGTTGAACTATGCAGCCAAATTTGATCAAGGTCAAGGTTTTCTTTATTGTAACTCACATCTCAGGTGGTACATGTGGTGGAACAAACTTGTACACACAGGGTCCCAGTTACATCCAGCAAAGTATAAACTGTAAAAGAAAAACAGTAATACGATCTAAGATATGAACTAAGAAATATGCTAAACTAAGAATACGCTGAACAGTAATAGTGCAAAAACAATACATCGAACAACAGCTGCTCGAACATGAGTCTGTGAGTAGATGAGTATGAATGAATACAGCAGCAGGAAATAAATCAGCAGCATTCTCTCTTGTATCCTGATCCTGTTCAGTCTCCTGCCTGCCCCTCGACCTCTGATTTTTGTCTTGCCCTTTTTGTACCTCTGCTCATCTGCTTTTACCTGCTTGTTTTTGGACTCCGAGATTTGTCTTGCTCTTTGGTACTGTCGCCTTTATCAGATCCTGTTGCCAACCTTGTTTCTGCCCCCGACTCTGCTTCTGGATCGCCCATCCAAGACCACCGACGCACACCGCCCCTCGGTGACGTCTCAGCGCTCTGCCTCCGGCCCACTGAGACTTTCAAGATCCAGCTCCGGCTCCTTGTCTTCCAACACCAGCCGAGTGTGGCAGCTCTTCGTTTATTTAATAAACCTTTTAAAACGTTCTGGATTCTTGTGGTTCTGATCCAACCTTAATCATTACAGTATATTCTGGCCATAATGGATCACCCACAAGTTTCAGAATGGCGAGCTGGTGTCGAGGGAGCCATTAGTAAATTAGAAAATGGCATGAATGGAATTGTAAATATGCTTAAAAAGTAAAACATGTCCCCTCAAAATCCACCACCACAGGATCCTGTTCCTGCTTCTGGACTCATACCAGCTGGACCACAAGCTACAGTACCGCACGAGCCACGCTTGCCCTAGTTCGAGCCCAGTTTTGGTGGTCTACACTGTATCGAGATGTAAAGACTTATGTACTCTCCTGCCATGTTTGCAATCAGACTAAGACCTCACGTCGCCCCCCTTCCGGTTTGCTTCACCCTCTTCCCATTCCCTCTCGTCCATGGTCCCATATTAGTTTAGATTTTATCACTGGTCTTACCCCCTAAGCCGGCAATACTGTTATTTTGACTGTCATTGATCGTTTCTCCAAACAGGTTCAATTGGTCCATTCCCCATATCCAAAGTTTTCAATCCCGTTTCTGTTCGCCTTCGCCTCCCCAAGTCACTTCGTATTCACCCATCTTTCCATGTATCCCGTATTAAGCCCTTTACCCAGTCCCAGTTCCACCCAGCACCTGATTCCCCCCCTCCCGCCCGTCTGATTAATGGGGCCCCTGCCTACTCAGTGCGACGCCTCCTCCGGTCCAGGAGATGGGGGCGCGGTCTTCACTACCTAGAAGACTGGGAGGGATACGAC